ATCCGGATTTGTTGGCCGCTCCACTTTGGGTTTTGCAAAGAAAGTCGCCGCGCGTTTGATCCGCTTCAGACTCGAGTCCACGTGAGCCTTTCTCCGAGAGGTGTCGAAGGGCTCCGCGAGCCTGGCGCCGGTATCTTCAGAAAGCTCTCGCGGCGAGTGAGGCCTTTGACGGAGACGTGCGACGGTCGGCCCGGGGGTTGTCTGGTGGGTGGATCGAAGGGCGGGGTTTAAAGGGGTTGCTGTGCCGAGCACGATCTCAAGAGATGTCAGCATGACATACATGATTTATTGCATTACTCTACTTTACATGCGTTGCAGTACATTACAGGCAGACAGGCAGGCAGACGGGCGGGCAGGCAGACAGGCAGACAGGCAGACAGGCAGACAGGCAGACAGGCAGACAGGCAGACAGGCAGACAGGCAGACAGGCGGACAGGCAGACAGGCAGACAGGCAGACAGGCAGACAGGCATGCATGCTTCGAAATATGATGTGTATGTATATATACATATACCAACACCAATTTATGTGTTGTTTCTAGGCTACGAATGTTGCCAGCCAAAGATTCTCAAGTTGGAGCCAGACTGCCAAAGGGCGTGAACATGACCCATGTTGTTCAAGCCCCTTTTCGAGTATGTCGATGATATTTGTGTGTACTACAAGCACTAGATATGCTGCCGGTGTCAACCACTTTATCTGCAAAGTATGCACTGGTGATGCTGGGGGTCTCAACCACTTTGTGTAGAAAATATCTTGTAAATTGCCTTTAGAAAAATGTCATCTGTTCGCATCCCCAGCAGCACCACCAAGGTCTATCGTCACTCTTGAATCCTGTACATAGTACAGATAGGAATGCAGCAGCACCATCCCCAGCGTCACCAGCAGGGCCTTGTTGAGGGAAATTGAGCCAGGCTTACTGCGATGATCTAATGACTCATGATGTACTCGTAGTTCGGGTTAAAGTTTGCAACTCTTTTTTTTATTGTTTTTCCCCAACAGCTGAAAGCTTTGGGGTCTCAGCCCAGATAGGCTCTGGGGTGGTCCGGGGCGGCCCTGAGGTAAGGTTCCACGAGGGTTCCACCAGGGTTCCACCAGGGTTCCACGAGGGTTCCACGAGGTTCCGCGAGGGCTGCGGGGTGGCGCGAGCACTAAGAAAGCATCGCATACTGTTGGGGACATCACCTGAGCTTATTTTCTTTTGTTGTTTACCTTGTTGTGTGCGTGTTGGAAGGGAATCTATCACTACTGGATTTGTTTCCAGGGGGCTCAATGGTTCTTTCCCTTTGCCTGCCACTTAGGAGGCTTTGATCATAATACAATAATGGAGCCAGGGAACAGTTTCTCACCATGTGTGTCTTCATTTGCCTAGCAACAGAACCACCGAGACAAACGTGGCTGTGTTTTGACTGGGGCCAACAGTTCTGCAACTGTGCCGGAGTTTTTCTGCGTTAAGGCCCGTTGGCCCCTTGGGCGCTTCGACTACCAAGTTTAGTGGGATCGTTGGAATTCAGTTTGCATAGACCTTCACCATGGGTTTGGGCCGCGCATGTCGTGGACATACATGATTTACTTGTTCCGAAAAGTGGAGAGTCATGACAAGTTTGGAGGGGTTGCGCAGATGAATGAAGCCTCTTTGTGATTGGGACATAGGTTTCGGCTCATTCTCGCTCAGAGTGTTGTTGGATTTCTGAATACCCTCACAGGTTTGACTATAAACAAATATTCTTTCCGGTGCTACGATTCCACGCTTTTTCTCATTTCCCCTTGTGGAACCTCCAAAAGTGGCAGTTTCAGTATAGAAACCACCAGTAGCTTGCCACCTTGGGGGAAATTCAGTGACCCCACCCCTCTCATTTTCCCTCGGCTGAAGCGGGGAATAGGAAGTCCTTGCTCCACGCATGATACACCTTCCCAGCGCGATGCATGAATACATTTGTTGGTGGTACATACCATGCGGGATCTTCCACACCATGCACATTTAGTGCGGAGATAACCAGTTTTTCAAAGGGTCTCGGGTAAATACTGTTAAACCCAGTGAGCCCAATTACCTCTGCATGGTACAATTGCAGAAGCGAAAATGCAATTCACGCCGACATATCGAAGGCATGGCAAGAGCTGTCTTCGTTTCATTTCAGGGATACCAATCGCAACAGCTGAACGAGCAGGCACGAGCGTGGCGATCTTTGCACTGGCCTATGGGTATGCATAAAAATATGGGGACGCCCTACGGTAGTGTTTCTTTTAGGCTTCCCTTTGCAGAAACCTCAAAGGGTACCCTCAAAACACAAAAGTGAGCCTCTTGGCCACGCCCAAGTTGTGCGTTTGCGCGTTTGGTTTAGCTGGACCCAGACCCGTTCGCGCGAAGAAAAAAAACACAAAAGCCAGGGCGCCGATGAGGGTCGGCTTGCGATCTCTGAGGGATTCCGCAGCCTAGTCTTTTGAATGAGCCGATGGTCGGCCACGAGTTTTCGAGTTTTTAGGTGATTCGGAAGCACCGCGTTTCCCCAAGGAATGCAAACATGGAAAAACGTACGGCACTCTTTCCATTGGTGAATGGGAGCTGTTCGAACTGCAATCATTTTTTTTAATAGCACACATTTTGCAGAGTGCATTGTGAAAATAGACGCCACAAAACACATAGACCCACATGGTCAGGAGACATTTTAGTCAGCGTCGGTTGACGTTTTGTGGATTCTGAGAGCCTCGAAGCTGCGGATGGGCTTGTTGTCCTAAGACCTAAGGGAACAGCTCAAAAAATGCGACTTGTCCGTGTGACCTACTGGGTCCCCCAGTAGTGCCCTTTCTCACCCCTTTCTTGGGGGAGGGTTTCCCTACGAAAATAGACTACAGAAAAAGGGTACCCTTATTCTAACCTCTCTAGTGGAGGACCCAGCCTAGTCAGGAGCTAAGCAATGACTTTGAGTCGGTTCTTTTGTCTGTAGAAAAGGCATTCAGCTTTTTTGTTTTGCCCATGACACTGGTTTGATTTTGAAGGAGTTTGTGACTCGAGTCAACATTTTGCAAATGAGTTTGGGCTTGGCCCATGGGTTTCTTCCCATTCGCAGCTTTCTTGACCCTTTGCTTCCGATGTTTGGCCGGCCATGCAGCATCGCTGCCGAAAATGAGCGACACACACCGCCGGGGCATCCGTTTGGCTCGCAAACACATATATCTCCGCGGTTCGATTCAAGTCTCACTGGCTGCGGCAGGGTTGGAGCACTTGAAGGCTTGTGAATTCCTTTCTGTGAATGAAAGCGGTTGATCACACATATACACACGTGATTATTTGATGGTGATGTAGGTGCCTCACAATCGCATTACAATAATTTGTTAGGCCCTGATAGTCATTTGCTTACATCGAAGCAAGAGGTCACTTTTCTCCAGTGTGATAAGTTAAGCTTCTGCTTTTGATGGATGTGTCCAGTATTGGCAAACTAGCGGCTTTCATTGATTCCATGAACATCAGGAATGGACTTGGAATGTTTGCAGAATGATGGTTGCCAACGTGGGAGCTCACAAGAATGTGTCAAACTTTCCAAGTGGAGTTTTTGACGAACAGGCTGGCTTGTTTGGCCGAAGCAATACACCAACCATGACCAGCCTCACCTTTACAGGCCTAAATTACACGTGTTTTATGGTGGACACACGGCCACATGATGTAAGAAAGGCATGTGCACTATCTTTTATCGAGGGCCTTCCTTTTTTGTTGATGGCAGAATTCTAGCATCACAGTAGAGCATAGTTGAAAGACACGCCTTTCCCCATAGAGATGCCGTGTCTCATGCCAGTTGTAATGTTTCGGGAAGCCGCTAACTCGGAATCCGACAAGAGGGCGAGATCAGCTTGAGAGAGGGTACCACTGCCAGGGCCCAGAAAACAACATCGCCGCAGCCTTTCTTTGTCCGCACACGACGGAGACCTGCGCGGAAGGGCGTGATGAGTGACCCGTCAGCGACATATTGGGATAGCGGATTTGTGGGTCAGTGACAGCAACCCATTTGGATTGTTCTTGAGGTTCCTTTCTCGTCCTCTTTCGATTGAAAACCATGGCAACAGTTCGACCACTTTGCCCACAGCCCAAAGACGATTAAATCGAGCACAATGGTTCCTGTTGCCTGCCCCTTGGAGAATCATGGTTTGGCCAGGTCATTGTAAACAGACGTAAAAAGCATTGGAAGAGGGCAGGACACTCACCCTTTGGGGTGTCAATAAGGGAGACCCCAAAACTGGTGGTGGTTCTTTTGCATTGCCTGAAAAAACCGTCCAGAGTTCGGGGGGTGCCCAGATCAGCTCTTCTTCGAGGCGTTAGGCCTTAGAGCTCCCGACAAAAAGATTTGCGCAGGCCGCTGTTCGACACGGGAAAAGGCCTCGGCTGTCAGAATCGGGCATCAGCTCCCGTCGTCGCTGAAGCGAAAAGTCAACACGAGCGCTGCAACTTCGAGGCTTGCTGAACAACCCGATCCAGTTGCTTGCGAAATAGCCCGGCTTCTGTTTTTACCTCTATATGGGCGTGTCCTGTGAGGGTGCCCCTTTTTGTGGTTTAGTTACTCATCGGACTAAGTGGCCCCAAATGGCTTCGGCTTTCCTGTTGTTTTTCCTGTAAAACCACAACAAATGGTGCCCTCACAGAAAAGTACCCAAACAAGCATGATCCTGCGATCCATTGCAAATCTGATTGTGATGATAATATTAGAGTTACACGTACAGGGCAAGTCTGTGTAATTTGGGCGCAATGAAATCACAATGAATTGGCCACTTCTGCTAAATGAAAAGCCGCCAGTCTCAAGTGAGATTGAACCGACTTTTGTTGCAAAAACGGAGATGAGCATATTAAACAAAGTCTTTTTGGCAAACGACGAACCGATTCCTTGAATCTGTGGTCTTCACGTTTCGGAGCCTGGCCTGAAGCCCGAAGCCCGATGTTGTATCAATGAAAAGGGGGGGGGGGGGGTTCGGGCCAAAATCATGCGAAGCATAATCCTACTATGGGACACCCCCATATGAATCAACCAGGGGAATATATACATGCATATGTATACATATGTATACATATACTTTAGAGCCTCCGGCTCAGTCCGCCGACATTGTCCTCTCCCTTTTCTCCTTCTCCCTCTCTTCCTTGTCTCCCTTGTGTGTTCTGTCGTCCTCTCTCCCTCCCTCTGCTCCCATCCTCCCCATCCCCCCAAGCCTCTCTCTCCCCACTCTCCCTCTCTCGTATGTATGCATGCATGTACATGTATGTATGTATGTATGTATGTATGTATGTATGTATGTATGTATGTATGTATGTATGTATGTATGTATGTATGTATGTATGTATGTATGTATGTATGTATGTATGTATGTATGTATGTATGTATGTATGTATGTATATGTATGTATGTATGTGTATGTATGTATGTATGTATGTATGTATGTATGTATGTATGTATGTATGTATGTATGTATGTATGTATGTATGTATGTATGTATGTATGTATGTATGTATGTATGTATGTATGTATGTAATGTGTATGTATGTATGTATGTATGTATGTATGTATGTATGTATGTATGTATGTATGTATGTATGTATGTATGTATGTATGTATGTATGTATGTATGTATGTATGTATGTATGTATGTATGTATGTATGTATGTATGTATGTATGTATGTATGTATGTATGTATGTATGTATGTATGTATGTATGTATGTAATGTATGTATGTATGTATGTATGTATGTATGTATGTATGTATGTATGTATGTATGTATGTATGTATGTATGTATGTATGTATGTATGTATGTATGTATGTATGTATGTATGTATGTATGTATGTATGTATGTATGTATGTATGTATGTATGTATGTATGTATGTATGTATGTATGTATGTATGTATGTATGTATGTATGTATGTATGTATGTATGTATGTATGTATGTATGTATGTATGTATGTATGTATGTATGTATGTATGTATGTATGTATGTATGTATGTATGTATGTATGTATGTATGTATGTATGTATGTATGTATGTATGTATGTATGTATGTATGTATGTATGTATGTATGTATGTATGTATGTATGTATGTATGTATGTATGTATGTATGTATGTAATGTATGTATGTATGTATGTATGTATGTATGTATGTATGTATGTATGTATGTATGTATGTATGTAATGTATGTATGTATGTATGTATGTATGTATGTATGTATGTATGTATGTATGTATGTATGTATGTATGTAATGTATGTATGTATGTATGTATGTATGTATGTATGTATGTATGTATGTATGTATGTATGTATGTATGTATGTATGTATGTATGTATGTATGTATGTATGTATGTATGTATGTATGTATGTATGTATGTATGTATGTATGTATGTATGTATGTATGTATGTATGTATGTATGTATGTATGTATGTATATGTATGTATGTATGTATGTATGTATGTATGTATGTATGTATGTATGTATGTATGTATGTATGTATGTATGTATGTATGTATGTATGTATGTATGTATGTATGTATGTATGTATGTATGTATGTATGTATGTATGTATGTATGTATGTATGTATGTATGTATGTATGTATGTATGTATGTATGTATGTATGTATGTATGTATGTATGTATGTATGTATGTATGTATGTATGTATGTATGTATGTATGTATGTATGTATGTATGTATGTATGTATGTATGTATGTATGTATGTATGTATGTATGTATGTATGTATGTATGTATGTATGTATGTATGTATGTATGTATGTATGTATGTATGTATGTATGTATGTATGTATGTGTATGTATGTATGTATGTATGTATGTATGTATGTATGTATGTATGTATGTATGTATGTATGTATGTATGTATGTATGTATGTAATGTAATGTAATGTAATGTATGTATGTATGTATGTATGTATGTATGTATGTATGTATGTATGTATGTATGTATGTATGTATGTATGTATGTATGTATGTATGTATGTATGTATGTATGTATGTATGTAATGTATGTATGTATGTATGTATGTATGTATGTATGTATGTAATGTAAGCAAGTAAGTAAGCAAGTAAGTAAGTATGTATGTATGTATGCATGTATGTATGTATGTGTATGTATGTATGTATGTATGTATGTATGTATGTATGTATGTATGTATGTATGTATGTATGTATGTATGTATGTATGTATGTATGTATGTATGTATGTATGTATGTATGTATGTATGTATGTATGTATGTATGTATGTATGTATGTATGTATGTATGTATGTATGTATGTATGTAATGTATGTGTATGTATGTATGTATGTATGTATGTATGTATGTATGTATGTATGTATGTATGTATGTATATGTATGTAATGTATGTATGTAATGTATGTATGTTTGTATGTAATGTAATGTATGTATGTATGTATGTATGTATATGTATGTATGTATGTATGTAATGTATGTATGTATGTATGTATGTATGTATGCATGTATGTATGT